CTGTGGGCCGCCCCCGCCGGCGCCCCCCGCCTGCGAGGCCACGCCAGCCTGCCGCCCGGCCGACAGCATGCTCAGCGTGCTGGTGCGAGCCGTGGTGGCCTTCTGAGGAGTCCGAGCCGCGTCGCCGGAGCCGAAAACGCACACCCGTGGCCAGGGCCGGCTGGGGAAGGTCGGCGGGACCGGTGGAGAAGAGCCGCGGCCCGGGCTGCCAGAGGCCCGGGGAAGGACAGAGGAGCTGAGGGCTTGGGCGCCTGCCTTCTCCCACAGTGCGTCCACAGGTGCTGTTAAGGACTGTCCCCTCCCTGGCTGGGAGAAGGGACACCTGGATCTTGAATCTCAGGGTCGGACTTTCTTGGCCCGGCTGCCCGTGCAAGGCCGTTTCACTAGCGTACGCGCTTCGGGCCCTACAAGTGGCACGCTTGTGCAAGCGCTCGTGGTTGCGTCATGGGGCAGACGCGGTGCTTCCTGCTGCCTTGCGTGGGTGTGGGGCCTGGGAGGAGGCCAGGGTGTGGACCCGCCCTGGGGACCGGGAAGTGATTTGAGTCACCTCGCCCCCACAGGCTGCTGTGGTTGAACCGGCCCTCGGCTAAGAGCCCGGACTGGACCGGTCAGTGAGTGGAGCGTCTGGAGACCCCCGGAACCGTCAGCCTAGACGGATCGCCTGGCGTGGGCCAAGGCGGGGAGGAAAGCTGGGTGGCTGGTCGCATTTACTGTCGTAGACCCTGTCTCTTCGGGCAGGAAAGGAATTCTTTTGCCAGCGTGTTTATGAAGTCTGTTTACCTTTTCCCATGGTGGGTTGTATTAAACTCCCATCTACTTGCTCAGCTAGGAAAATAAAGACCTTCGGAGTAAAGATCGCTGCTGTCTGGCTTGCTTCCTTGGAGGGAGGAGGTGGGGTTAAAGGGTCAGAACTGGTTTGCCTTAAATTTACAGGCTGTTTCTTAAAAGCAACCCCGTGATTTGGGGGTCCCTTGGAAATTAACATACACTCTGGGGACCAGCGAGTGTAGAAAGTTCACAGCCTTTAAGAGCTGTCGGGTGCAGTGTTTCAAAAGGAGCTGGCTAATTTTAAATGGCGTTTCTGTCTTGCCCCCTCGACTGGGACTTGTGTAGAGCCCCCGCGCGTGGAGTGGCGATGACTGAATATTGAACATGCCCTTTCCAACTTCTTAGCTTTGTGGCTCAGGCGGAAAAGCGAATGCTAACTTAAGTTACCTGTCTAGGAAACTGGCCTGAGCCGGGCGTTGCGGCACATACATTTGAATTTCAACACTAGGGAAGCCAAAGCCAGCCTGCTCTACAAAGCGAGTTCCAGGACAGCCATGGCTGTGAGAGAAACGCTGTCTCGTAAAAAAGAAAGAAAAAGAAATGGGCCTATAACCCTCTTCCGCAGCACATTTAGGCTTTAACAATGCTCATGTTTAATCCAACCGGTAGTGTGAAGACCAGTCCAAGAAACACAGCAAGTCGCCAAATTTTTGTGTTTTGTTTAAAGCCGGGCAGAGAGATGTACACCTTTAATCCAAGCAAAAGGAAGGCAGAGACAGGCGGATCTCTAAATTAGAGGCCAGCCTAGTTTTCGTAGTTAATTCCAAATCCACACAAACTGAAGTTAGCCTTAATTTTATCCAGCTGCGCGCTATGCAACCAACGCACAGTAAATAATTCCTCTCACTTTGGTTTCCGACCAGCTTTAGGCGTAACCTAGGGGCCGGGGTGGAAGCTCGAGGCCCTAAGGACAAAAGAACCGCAGGTGCGGGAGGCATGCAAGGAAAGCGCAGGCCCCGCCGGCCCGACAGCTGCCCCCACCCCCTCGGGCCTCTCCTGACCCCAGGGCAGAGGGCAGAAGGAGGGGATTGCCTCCTGCTGACTGCGGAGCTCCCTGGAGCACCCCAGCCCCCAGCTTCTCCCTCCTGGGAAGTTAGGGTAAAAGCGCTCCCAGGAGACCCAGCCGAGACTATCTCCCGGAACTCCTGATTCCTAGTTGAAAACCTGAAGGATCCCTAGCCCTGCCCACTGTCTAGACCCTTGAGTTCTGGGGGATCTTGGGCACACAGGGGCATGGCCAGGCCTGGGAAGTCCCTAGTGGCTAGGGAGGCGCCCTCGGTGCACATCCTGTCCCAGGAACCACAGGGCCCTTCCCTGGGAAGTGGCTGGTCCGACCCCCACCCGAACTCTGGTTTCCGGTGCCGCAGCCACTGTAGGGTGAGGGACTGAAAATTCCCTGCAAGTGCAAACTTTCTCTTAGGAGAGAACGAACTACATGAGAAACGCACAATCGAAGTCTGCATTCCGGACACTTAACGTGAAGCTGGAGGGTTAGTGAGTTCAAGTCTAGCCTGGGCTACACAATGACGCTGTCTCATAACAAAACAGTATTCAACAGGGTGTGAGTGGTAGGTAGCCCCATAAGTTCCAAGCCGTGTGATGAATGAGGAAGTGCTGGATGGGTACCCTTACTTTGAGAAAAACTGCCTGCTTACAAAGAGTAGTCTGAGAAAGTCATCTGAATCATAAACACCCCTGAATCAGCACCCTCCCCCACCACCAAAAAAAAATACAAGACTATGCACAAGGTCTGCAATCAGCCCTTTTGTTTCAGTACAGGGTCTTTGTATTAAACTGTTTATTGTAGAGGTGTATTTAAGAGATAATGTCTCTGCCTGGAGAGATGGCTCAGAGGTTAAGAGCACTGGCTGATCTTCCAGAGGACCCAGGTTCAATTCCCAGTATCCACATGGCAGCTCACAACTGTTTGTAACACCAGTTTTAGGAAATCTGGCTCCCTCACTCGGGCATGCCTACAGGCATAACGCCAAGACACATAAAATAATAAGTAAATTTTAAAAAGAGAGGGAGACTGTTTCTTGTGCCCCAGGCTGTTTTGGAACTCGGAGGATGACCTTGAGCTGGGCTTTCTCCCTCCACCTGGGTATTGTGATCAAAATGGCCCATCTGGGGATGGAACTCAAGCCCTCTTGCTTACATGTAAGCATTCTGTGGACTAACCCATTTCCACTCAGATCCAAATCATACAATTCCATAGTGATACAACAATTATCCTTACTAGTTTCAAAATCTTCCAACCCCTTTAGCAACCACTTAGCAACCCAGCCTCCAGCCACCTAGAGTCTACTTTGTGTCTTGCCTATTGTAGACAACTCAAATGAGGGGACTCATTCACAATTCAACCGTTTTAAGTTAGACTTCTCCCTGGCCTCATGTCTTCTAGGTTCATCAATGTCGTAGCACATACACAAAAGAACCACTTTGCTCTTTTATGGCTTCATAATATTCATGTGTATAGGTTCACATTTGTCTCCCATCTGCCTGCTGTGGATATTTAGGTCATCTCTACTGGAAAATGTTGTGAATGTGCTATGAACATGTGTGCAAAAAGGTCTGTATGAATGTCTGCTTCTAATTATCTTTTAAAGATTTATGCTTATGAACTTTAAAAGAATTTTTAAGATTTATTTTCTTTGTATGAGTATTGCCTGCATGAATGTACAAATACGATCACATGGGTACCTGGTGTCCTAAGAGGCCAGAAGAGAGCCTCAGATCTCCTGTAAGTGAAGTTATAGATGTTTACAAGCAGCCATGTTAGTTCTGGGAATCAAACTCTGGTCCTCTGTAAGAGCAGATCTTAACTATTGAGCCCTTTCTCCAGTCCCTACTTCTAACGATGTGTGTGTGTGCATGTGTGTGTGTGTAGGGGCCCAGACAGGGATTCTCTGTGTAGCCTTTGCTGTCCTGGAACTTGCCCAGTAGATCCTGCTGGCCTCGAAATCTACCTCACAAGTGTTTGTTTTATAGGTCTAGTAGGATGGCTCATCAGGTAAAGGGACTGCCAGCAAGCGTGAGTACCTTAGTTCCATCCCTGGAAGTGGAAGGAGAGTAGAAGGAAACAATAGACTCCTCCAAGTTGTCTTCTAATCTCCACACGCCCTTGCACATAAATATACATATAAAATAATTATTTGGGGTGTGGCAGCAAGTGTTCTGAGTTCAGAGGACAACTTTATGGGAGTCAGTTCTCTTCTCCCCCAATGTGGATTCTGGGATGGAACTCCTGTCTTTTTTTTTCTCTGAGACTGGGTTTCTCTGTGTAGCTTTGGCTGTCCTGGAATTCATTCTGTAGAGCAGGCTGGCCTCAAACTCATAGAGATTCATCCGCTTCTGCCTCCTGAGTGCTGGGATTAAAGGCGGTGCCACCACTGCCCTGCCTGTCCAGTACTTAACTCCCTGTCTTTAGGTTTGTCAAAATCAAAAAGGCCTCAGCCACCTGCCTAGCTAGACTTGTTTCCTTTTTTACAGCAGTATCTCACATAGCCCAGGCTGGAAACTATGTAGCCAAGAATGACTTTGAACTTCTGGTCTTCCAGCCTCACAGGGACCCCTCACTAGGAATGATCCTAGCCAGGCACTGGATCACCTGAGCAACACTGCCGTCCCTGATCCTGTGCTTGTGATCTGGGTTACCTGGTACATAAACCACGAGTGCTCAGGAAGTGATTAAGGGCGAATTAAACACAATCATTACTAATGATCATTACTGGGGGCTGGAGAGATGGTTCAGCAGTTGAGTCTTCCAGAAGACCCAATTTTAGTTCCCAGCACCCATATCCCCTGTAAGGCAGCTGACAGCCAGTTTTATTTAACTCCTGTTTCAGAGGATTCCATGTCTCTGGCTTCTGCAGGTACCTGCACTCACAGAAACACACACACACACACACACACACAATTTAAAATAGTAAATCTTTTTTTAAAAAATGATCTAGCTATTCATCTCAGAATGCAAAGTTGCTTTTTGTGAATTAACAATTCATATGTAACTTCCTTTGAGATTTGTCCTTTTAATGTTTTTCTTGGTGTTTTTGTGTTTCGTTTTTTGTTTTTTGTTTGTTTTTCGAAGGAAGCTCTGGAGCTATGAAGTCACAGAGATCAGTGGGACTGACTTCTGAGGTTGAAGACATGGGCCACCATACTTAGCTTGTTGTGATGGTGGTTCTTTGAAACAAGATCTGTGTAACCCCAGCTGACCTGGAATTCCTTATCTAGATCAAGCTGGCCTTGAACTTGCAGAAATCCACTTATCTTGGCAGATTTTAAGTGGGCCACTACTGTCAACTCTGGGGTCTTTTTTGCTTTTATATTTGAAACAAGATCTCATGTGGCCCAGAGTAGCCTGGAATTCATTATGTAGCTGAGATGAACTACTTACGGTCCTGTCTCCACTTCCTGGTACTAAGATTACAGGTGTGCCCAAGACTCAAGCATACTAGGCAAGCCCTTTAACTGAGACTCACATAGGGTCCTCTCTCAGGGCTTCCCACATTCTAGGTAACAGATCCACACTCAGCTATATCCCTAGCCCCCCCAGTCTCCCTCCTTTATTTTTTGCAATTTTGGCTTACTAAATTGTTCAGTGTAGCATAGGTGACCAGTGTAGCTGGTCCCTTCTGCCTCAGCTTTCCCACTAGCTGGGATTACTGGTATGCAGTCGCCATCACACCCGTCTGATACTCATTTGAATTATTATTGTTCATGCGTATAAGTGTACCTGAGTGTATGTATGTGCACTGTGTGTTTGTAGAAGCTCTCCCAGAAGTCAGTAGAGGCATCGGATCATGAACTGAAATTACAGATGTTGTAAGACGAATTCGTCCTTACCAAGAAAGTGCTTCGCTTTTTTTTGGGGGGGGGGGGGTGTCGAGACGGTTTTTCTGTGTAGCTCTGGCTGTTCTGGAACTCCACTCTGTAGACCAGGCTGGCCTTGAATTCACAGAAATCCACCTGCTTCTGCTTCCCGAGTGCTGCGATTAAAGGTGTGAGCCACAACCGCCTCGCTCC